AATTGTTTAGTTTCATTCATGTGTCTTTTGTTTATTATTGATTTGAAGAAATGTTTATTGTTAATTTATTTTCTTTAAATAACAATAAAAGGTGTTTCTCTCTAAAATATTTGATAGTACAACCAAATTAATTTATTTTATTAATTTCAGAATACTATATACGGTTTTCATATATTTTATCATAAATCAATTAAATAAATGACATATTCATTTTATTGTTATGTGATTATTAATAAACATTGCATTATGATTATTAATTATCATTTCTTATTTCAATTTTAGTTTCTTCTTAATTATATTTTATTTACTTATAATTAAAAACACAAAGTAATAAATTGATTGTCATTCATTATATCCTATCTTTGTTCATAGTTTATTTTAAATTGATTGGTACTATTTATTCTTTTGATAATACTTCCTATTTCCAATATTTAATTTTGACTAAATTTATCAATATTATAAATATCATCAATAAATGATGATATAATGAATAGAATTATGTTTCTCAAATTAACTTATTATTGTAATCATTATTTGATAACATCATTAACTTGATTTGTATGTAAGTGATTGAATTTATAAACTATCATAAATTTACAATTTATTTATTTACAATAAAAACAATGTTATCGTTGTTTTAATAAAAATAATGAACAGTTTTAAAAATATTGGTTTTTCATCTAAGTTTCTATCAAGTGTTTATTATTCAAAATCAGAGTATCATAACTACATTAATAATTCCATATATAACAAATTCAAACATTTTATCTCCAACAATATTAAGTGTTTCTTAAAATTCTTTTTGAATTATTACCAAATGTTTTGGAATTGTTTATATTTAATTTTACTATCTACTTTTTCCAATCAATGTAAATAACATTCCCATTATTTCTTTTTTCTCTCTTTTCAGAAGGTTAGTTTTTATATTCACATAACCATCTTTTACTTATGTAATTTCTGCATCTGTCCTCTTCTTTAATTTTTTTATATGCAACATTAACTTTTTCTATTTCTTCAATATTGATAGGAAGTAAACAACGAACCATACTAGTAACAATTTGATTTCATTTTCTGACATGACATTATCATAATATTCATGTGGTTGTGAATCCACAAAATTAGTAAAACACCCTTTCGTGTTTTGTTGTTTCTTTAGCTAGTTTTATCATTTCTTTATAATATTTATTCTTTTTAATTTCTATGAATTTATTCATTGTCTTTTATAGGAAATTATTAGAATGTTTAATCCATACAATATATACATGTCATTTTAATCATTCTTTTAAGATTAGATGATCTAAGATAATTAAAATCTGAACAAATAACAATCCCTTGTATTTCTTTATGTTCTTTAATATAATCTACCATCTGACGAACAATTTCTTTTTCTATCATTAGAATTATTTAAATAAGGAGTACCAATAACAAATACATACTTCTATTACTTTCTCCATAACACTCCTTCGTCTCTTGTGCTATTGAATTAGGATTACTATTCACTTTAAAAACATTCTTCTTTAAAATGAAATAACCAAATGAACTTTTACAACTACCTGTTTCTCCAACCAAAAGTAATTTAGTTGATTTTCCTTCTTGTTCGGTCATTTATATTTGCTAGATATCAGTATTTTAAATATTACAATTAGGTTATTCAAAAAACACTTGGTTATAAATGATATTTGTAGTTTGTTTAATGTAAATAAATATTTATCGTATTTAAATGATAAATACCCCTTTGATATTTATAATATTTAGTATTGATTAAATTAGATATCAGTGATCATACTACATTTATGACATGAGAAAATATGAC